TGTTAACTCCTCATTTGGGCTTATTCATTTGTTATTGAATTATTATTATCCTTCACCTGTATGCTTTTCCTTAATAAATTTTAGAAGATGGCCACTTGCTCAACGTAATCCTTCTTTTTCCATCTTGGCACTTTATTACTCCTCCTTGGTTTATAATTCTCAGTGTGCTTGTTCTTCAGCCTGAGTTGAGGGCATTTGAGAAAAATGTGTAGTCTCTGATGTGTTCTATAGTACCACATAGAATATCCTGTGTACCAGATGACTTGCAGGTTATTTACTTGCAAAATAGTAAATTTTCATAATTTTTTAATGTTCAAAAGATACTTGCATGTGAAATGTATCTTCTGATATACTGCAAATATTATTTTAGCACAAAATCCTAAGCTAAAATCTGTCTTTGATGTTCTCTTTAGTTTTCTTTTTTTAAAAAAAAAAAAGAAAAGAGGATTTAGGCAGTAAGTAAAAGCTGGTGACTGAGTCTTAAGTCCTATTTTCAGTTATAGAAATTACTGGCTTGATTTCTACTTTATCTTTATTAGAGGTAAAGTTCTTACCTTTTGTGTTATCTCTGTTATCTGTTGGCTTACCACTAGAATAATTAGAAGAACATGGAATAATATTATAAAAATTTATCTGAAACTGGTACTGTAGGAATAGCAATACTAATAAATGTTCATCGATTTGGCTATCTTACAAAGAATTGTTACTTATTTTATAAAAAAGTAAATTTTGAGAGAATCTTACTTTTACCCATTGTTGATATTTTTATCATCTGCTGCTTCCATAATTGTAGCATTTTATTTCTATACAGAATGCTTTTCTCTAATTATCTCATGTGTCTCCTGCTTGTGTCAACCAAATTGGGCTAGATGATCTGTGGTAATAACTCCCAGATTTCAGTGGCTTAATGTAGTTTTACCTCTTGCTGAATCCTCATCTTCAAAGGGGTCAGCAGGGGCACTGCAGACACTGTGTCTTTCAAACACTCAGGCTAACCAAGGCTTCATTTCCACTTCTGCTTCTGCAATGACTGAGGCACTGGAAAGACAGAATGGAGAATTGAATGCCAATTCTGTAAGCTTCTGCCTAGGAATGACTTAAAAAGCCTTTGCCTACAATTTCACTGGTGAGAGCAAGTGACATGACTGTGTCTGACTGTAGAGGGGCAGGAATCAAATATCCTGTTAATATAAATGTGGGAAAGATAATTCAGAGTATTTGGTGAATAGCTTCAGTAGATACCATAGTCCTGCTCATAGTTGACAGTTTGTCCAATTTCCTGGCTGTAATTCCTTTACTGAGAGCTGTTTTTCTCAGTGTCATTTTTCAGTTCTGTTGCTTTAGTTCTTTTTTCTCCTTCTGTCACTTTTTCACTTTTAGTATTTAATTTTTCAAAGAAAGCCTTTATCTTTTTTTTTTTCTGAGTGTTTCTAATCCGTTATTTGCATTATCACCTGAGTTCAACAGTACTGTTACCACCCCCCCTCCCCCGCCAACCTGTGGGATACTGCTCTCCTAGTTGACTTTCTTTTGTTACCTGGAGATAACTTGAAATATTCTGGTTGCTTTATCTTGATTGAAGTTGTTCGCACTTGTTTGGGTTCCTGCTTTCCCTGTAAGTGTGTGTGTGTGTATTTTAAAATAGAGGGGTTAGGAAATCAAAAGTTATAGAGGTGTTGTAACAAAGGGGCTTAGCCAGATTTGGAACTTTTTTAGTGTTTTTAAAGGAAATCCATTTTTATTCTCTTTAAAATAAGATTATCCATTTTTTTTTGAGATTTTCCATTTTTATTCCCTTTAATGTAAAATATTCTGTCTAGGTGATAGAAATCGGTAGGTCAAAACGTGTTTATTTTTTTGGAGCAATGTTTATATGCATGTCACATTTGTGTGTTTTTACTTTTCCTACTATAAATCTGTTTAGATTGTTAGTCTTCTATTGATCTGCTATTTTTGTTTCTGTATTTCCATATTATAACTACTGCTGCTTTATAGCATTTTCCTAGGGAAGGGCAGATGCGTGTTTCATAAATTTATAGATGCTATGGTTTTACACGTACTGCTAATTTATGATACATGCTGTGGCATACAAGTTAATTATAAAAGGTCAAAGATTTTTTGAAGTTAGATTTTGTATTCTGGAAGAACAAAAGACAAGAACTTTTCAGTCTGTTTTTACCTGTGATTGAATAAACAATGTTTATTTTCAGGTGTTTTGTTTTTGCCAGAAATTATTTAGATCATCCTTTTAGAAATGTTTATTTAAGAAGTTCTTTGTTATTAAAGGTTATATTTACTAGTAAAACTTCTGTTTTAATTATCCAGATCTCAGGAAATTTTCTGATAGAATATCAGGTGAAAAATGTTCCTTCAGACAGAATTGCAACCCAGAAGATCTTATCTGTGATTGGGGAGTGCCTTGACCACTTTGGCCCTGGCTGTGTGGGCGTGCAAAAAATATTAAATGCTCGGTGTCCACTTGTGAGGTTCTCACACCAAGCTTCTGGATTTCAGTGTGATTTGACTACTAATAACAGGTATGGTCTCTTAACTTATCATCTTAAATGTAAATCTTACAGGGTATTGACATAGTTTGCCTTGAACACTTACAGTGTGTTTGCCTTGAACACAGACATGCTTTAATAATACTTTTTAACAATTTGAATACTTGTATTAAAAAAAAATAGGAGAAAATAGGAATATTTTTTGTTTTATTATGCCTGTTGGGTTTTTGATCTTCCTAAATAAGATAACATAATATGCCAGCATATTATGTTAAAATGTTAATATCCCTAACTAATATCTTCTTCTAAGAACTATATTTTATTGTTCTACTTACAACAATGATAACAATGAAAATACCTATTTATAGTGTATTAAATCTTATAGGTATTCTTAAAAGGTAAGAATATAGTATATTAAGTCTTATATTCTTAGAAGGTAAGAATAGCAACTTGAATATGACCTCTGACCTCTGGGAATAGTCAACTTTGTGTCCTGAACATGCAGTCTTTGCTTGGGTCAGAAAGTAGTCTGAACTACTTAATTAAGACTGCATAGTTTTTGTCAACATATTTGCATTTTATTATACTAGCAGCCTGCTTGCTTAAAATAAAAAAGGGGGTAAAAATGAAAAGTTCTTTCATACTCTGATTTCTTTGGTTCTCAAGTTTTCTGATTGAGTTATTCCTTAATAATCTTGCATACATTTGATTTCACACTGTTATCTGTTAGATAACTGTTAAGTAAAAATAGATCCAGAAATCCAATTTAGAGCAGTTTTGATTGAATTCATGTGTTTACTAACTAGTTCTAAGTAGTTCTGAATTTCTCTCTCACTTCTATATAAAAATAAGTGAAAACATTAATGATCTATCATATATTTTCTATTTCGTATATAAAATAGGACACAGTAACTTTTCTAATGTTATTTCAATTTGTCTTGGGGCAGACTTTCAATTTTAAAATTTCTTACTTTTTTTTTACATGTTATATCATTGTTAATTTTTGGACAGTATTTAATTTCTCCCCTCAGATTTAGTCCCCGTGCTTCTCCCGCCATCCCACCACCACAGCAGCTGTGACCCTTCACCATAGTCCCTGTGCTCTTTCCCCATGCCTGACGCTCCTCTCTTGCCCTCCCCTGCTCTGTGTCTCAGATCTGTGCTTAGCTTGCCCGTTTTGTTGGGACAGATTTTTAAAAATGTGTTTTAAATTGCTTTAGGTTTTTAAACTCTTGCAGTGTTTTTGTATATCTGCTACCTTGTACAATTTGTTAGTTAACCATGCATTTCTAATTTATCATTTTTTCTATTTTTAATTAAATTCAAGAAGTAAATGTCAGGGTAGTACAATGCAGACAGTTTGAAGATGATAGTTTTAGATGATTTTATACCCTTTGTTGGTTCTTTTAGAAATTACAAGGCTTTTGATCAATAGGCACTTCATTTAAACATTTTTGGATTAATAATTCTTTGCATTATACCACTATGACTCAAAAATGTATTAAAAATGGACGCTGAAGTTTGATTTCTTAATAGATGTTTGTTCTTCGTGGATTTTGGTTTTTATAACTATTAGACTTAAGTAATTTTGACTGAACTTTAAGCCAGCTATACTGTCCTGATAAAATAAAATGTTTTCTTCTATTCTTAAGATAACAGATTTGTCTGTCAGGACTAGATAACCAAGGTGTGCAACTTTAATGTAAAGCTTCTTTTTTAAACAAATGTGTCTGTATTTTTAATGATGTGTAGAACATTTTTCCCATTAGGAATTTTGTATACATTTTTAATTGTCAATCTTTTCAAACATTGTCAACATTTTTAAATAGAAGTATTTAATAGTTAGGCATTCACATATTTTATACTATAAATAAATAATACTTTTGGTTTTCTGAGTATGTTTAGCTCTATTAAGATATTAAGATATGTGTTTTATTCTATACCTGGATCATAATTTGGAGGTTTGAAAACTTTTTTTTTTCTTTTTTGAAGGATTGCCTTGAAAAGTTCTGAACTCCTATATCTATATGGTGCCCTGGACTCACGAGTGAGAGCCTTGGTGTTCAGTATTAGATGTTGGGCTCGAGCACATTCCTTAACGAGTAGTATTCCTGGAGCTTGGATTACAAATTTCTCTCTTACAATGATGGTCATTTTTTTTCTCCAGAGGAGATCACCCCCTATTCTTCCAACACTAGACTACCTAAAAACCCTAGCAGGTAAGACTAGAAGCAACCTCTCTATTTTCTCTTCCTGATGTTTTGAATTAACATAATTACCATGTGTTGTCAAAGTAAGGAGTCTTTGTATAATAGTCATCATTTGTCTTCTGTATTTTTAAAGCCCTGTGAATCTAAAATTAAAGTGCTTCTAATTTTTAAATGCCCACCAGGGGTCATGACAGCAGATTTGAGAAGCTGACGTCTTTAGAATACCTTCAATCAGTTTTAACTTGTGTCAGCTTGCAAGCTTGTTAACAACTATCAGACAACTCCTCCAGTTAACTAAATCTGGGATGGTCTTTTTCAAAATTCCAGTTACAATTTTTGATTGACTTGCAGTTTCACAAATCCTTTTTTAGATCTCTTTCTATTTCCAGATTTATATTAGGGATGATAAAATTTGTCTCATGAAGTAAAAAGTTTTTTCAGTTAAAAGTTATAAGTGAGCTTAGAATTGTTTTCAAATTAGCATGTGATTTAATTATATTAAATTGAAATTTCAGTAGACTACGTGAGATACTAAGATGTTATAATTTCTAAATGGAAGATTATTAAAGGGTACACTCAAATTGTGTATGTAATGTCCTTATCTTCCTTGTCTTCTATATATTACTGCCGGATAATTCTTAGAATGTTATACCCTTCAGTTACCCATTTAAAAAACAGTGGCTATAGGCCCTCCCTGGTGGTGCAGCGGGTTAAAGCGCAGCACTAAGAAGCTAAAACCACTTCCACATGAGTTCGATTCCCGCCTGCCCCGGAGGTGACCACATGGCGTGGCAGACCCCTCCTGACCCGCCTGCTGCTCCCCTCAGCAGTGTACTTCGTCGATCTGCCTGTTCTGCTCCCCACTCTGTCTCTGGTGAAGCCTCTCACCGCCCCTAAGCTTCTGGCCTGTACCCCAGTTCTGTATGCATAAATAAATAAATCTTAAAAAAAAAAACAACAAAACAGTGGCTATATTGTTATCAATAATTAGGGAAATGATTAACGCTAAAGCTATAAATACTGTTAGAGAGAATGAATATTTAAATACAGTGTGGGTAAATTTGTTGTAGTGAATTCCCTGAGTTTTTTCCCAAAGCTCTGTGAATTGTTGGAAAAAATGCATAGGGCCCTCCCTGGTGGCACAGTGGGTTAAAACACAGCACTATGAAGCTATCTGCAGCAATTGCAGCATGAGTTCAATCCCCAGCAGGGAGGTGACCCATATGGCATGGCAGACCTCTCCTGACCCACCAGCTGCTCCCCTCAGCAGTATATTTCAGTTAGTTTGCCTATTTTTCTCCCTGCTGTCTCTGGTGAATGCCTACCTGCACCTCTGACCTGTTTCCTAGTTCTTGTATACATAAATAAATACATCTTAAAAAAAAAAGAAAAGGAATGCATAAAAGGTGGGGATAGGAATGAAAATGGAGATACTAATTAAGTATTATTGATCAGAGATAGTACAAAGATTTGAATTGGTGAAAGATGGGACCTGTCTACATTTTCATTTGTAACTTAAAAAAGAAAATTAGTACCACAAAAGATAAATTCTGAGTCATTTGTTATAGACAGTTCTAGTATGCTGAAGTAAATGTAATACAAGTTTCATTATAGGTGTAATTAGTCTTAATTATTTTTTTAAGGAAGTTTTAAATTCTATTAATCACAAGTATATAATACTAATTATTAATAGGGCACATTGATCTAATAACTCATTTATCTAGTTGTAGATTTTTTGAAATAGAGAATATGTTTGAAATACAGTGTGAAATATTTTTAATTTATGTTTATTTAAGATGCAGAAGATAAATGTATAATAGAAGGCCACAACTGTACCTTTGTTTGTGATGTGGATAGAATTAAACCTTCAAGAAACACAGAAACACTAGGTAAGTGTTTTTTTGTTTGTTTGGTTTTTTTTTGCTCCCTTTTTGGGTAGAAATAGACCTTATTCTTACTTTTCTTGTTTTATTTTCTTACAGAATTACTACTAAAAGAATTTTTTGAGTATTTTGGAAATTTTGCTTTCAATAAAAATTCCATAAATATTAGACAGGTAAGTAATATTTTAGTATTTGGCTATTTGGTATTTGGTCTTCTACTGTACTAATATTTATTTTGTTTACTTTCCAAACCATTAATATGCTATTGTAACTCACCCCTACAATAATAGATAGTAATAAGAAAATTGATCACTAGTAGAGCTATATATAATTTGACTAGGGATATCATCTAGTTACTTGGCAGAACAAAAGTCAACTTTATCAAAATCTAATACTTATCTTTCAAGATGTGGAATTATTGTCTGAGAAGTTTCAAGATGTGGAATTATTGTCTGAGAAGTTTCCTAGAAGGCATAACTTTACATATAGATCATCTTAAATTGGATGTGTGTTCTTATGGGAAAAATTGAATACATAGTGCCACAGGTAAATTGTAGTGATTTGCTCAGTTTGAGGCCTTAGGGTTTATATAGGCAGGTGAATTTGTGATTTTTTTTTCACCTGAATGTCTGGCATGCTAGGAATTTTCTTCTTAAAAAAATCAGAAGCAAAATTTGTTTATGGGGGCTTGGGGTGATGCTTGAAGTAGCTCTCTTGTTTGGGATAACTCTAGAATTTGAATGCATAGTTTCAACCCTTCTATGATTAGCTTCATAAGCCAAACCCTCAGGTGTTCTCTCTGTTGTATTTTTAGCATTCAGTTGCTTATTCATTCTTAACTTTTACCCAATTCATGGAGTTTTTTTTTTTTTAATAAAAGGTTTAAGGGGAAGGGACATAGAACTCTGGAATGAATCTTGACAAGCTATGCAACTTCTATCTACTGACAAACTCCAGATAGAAGAGAAAAGCTCTGAAAAAATCAGAATTTCTATTGCTAACTTATGTTACAACCTCCCTTTTTTGTATAAACATAACATCAAAATATTCTGAGCAACTGTCAGTTTACAACCACATTGCCTTAGCCTCATAAGGCAGCTGCTTGTCCCAGGCAAGCAGCCCTGTCCCAGGGTTGGGAAATTCCTCTGTCTCCTAAAACAAAAGGTAAGCCCCAGGAGAGCTAACCGCCCCCCCCCCCCCCCAGGGCAGACTCCTGGGGTGGGGGTGGGGGGATGTTTAAATAAAAAGCAAATCTCAGATAGAACTCCCATGGCATAAGGACTCATGGACAATTTTTTTTTTAAAGATTTATTTATTTATTCATATAGAACTGGGGTACAGGTCAGAGATGTGGAGGGTGAGAGGATTCACCAGGAACAGAGCGGGGAGCAGAACGGGCAGATTGAGGAAGTACACTGCTGAGGGGAGCAGCAAGTGGGTCAGGAGAGGTCTGTCGGGCCATGTGGATCACCTGGGGCAGGTGGGAAATCAAACTCATGCTGAAGTGGATTAAGCTTCTTAGTGCTGTGCTTTAATCCGCTGTGCCACCAGGGAGGGCCCTCATGGACAATTTTTTAACCTTGTTTACACAGGTGTTGCTTAATGCAAGACTGTACAACTTTTTCTTAATGTACTCCTTTTAAATAATCACTAACTACTCTTTGCTAGCCTTAAATTACCCTTTTCTTAAACAAACACTACTCTTTGCTAGCCTTAAATTAGCCATTAGCTTCTCTTTAGAAAATCACTAATAACTCTGCTAACACAATTTATTACTTCCCTAAGACCCCTAATAATCTTTTGCTAATAGTTCATCCTTTCCCAAACCCCTCTTCCCTTGAGTTATAGTTAAACATCTGTATACATGACAATTATCACAAATATGTATAATTTCGTATACCATAAAATGTTAGGAAGAAAATGCATTGTTCTCCTTTTTTCCTTGAGAATATTTTATGACAATTTATGGTAATCTCTCATTAACTCACCCTATACATTATTGTAATTAATACTTACTACACAGTATAAATAAAGACCTGCTGAGAGTGAGCAGGAAGACTTGCACCCAACTCTGACTCCCATGTCTTCCTCGTGCCTGATCCCCTTGCCCCTTGGGATCTCTGCTTGCCAACGCCTTCCCACCTTAGGGTCCTGCCTGTTTTGCACCACCCCTCCCCCCCATATTTGGGGCAGTCCCCAACAGAATCTAGAAGAAAAAGATCACCAAACAAGGGGAGTTTATCCTCCTCCTTGTACTCTTAACCTCCAGGACTCAGAGATGACAGACAGACCAACAGGACCCATGCTAGGTGCTAGCATGAAAGAAATTGGGGGATAAGTGAGTGCTGCTCACATTGGAGAATCTTGACCTTTAATTTTAAAATGTTAAAGTAATATTTGTGATATCATTTGAAAACGGAAATGATTATATAGGCTAATGGATCATGGCTATTCATATGGAGTTATTAACTTACTTCTTTTGATTCTATGAAATGTTGTCTTACTTGATGTAACCTTAAGTTGTATCTTTAGTACCATAGTAAGAAACTTTTAATGTTGTAAGGTGAATGATAAATAATCCTTTATTCTTTCTCTTCCGTCCTGATTTTATACTTGGAAAACATTAATTACTGTTTTTTTTTAATTTAAGAATTCTAATTTTGTTTGTTTCTATTCCCACTGTAATATGTTTATAGCAAGTCTCAAAAATAAGTGTTTCTTTTATTATTTTCTACCATTTTTCTGCCATTTTTTTCTTTCCCAGACCCATCTTATTAATAAATAGGTTGTGTTATTTAAAAAATACTTTTGGCCCTCCCTGATGGCGCAGCGGGTTAAAGCACAACACTGAGAATCTAAAGCCGCTTCCGCATGAGTTCGAACCCGCCTGCCCCGGAGGTGACCACATGGCGAGGCAGACCTCTCCTGGCCCACCCGCTGCTCCCCTCAGTAGTGTACTTCGTCGATCTGCCTGTTTTGCTCCCCACTCTGTCTCTGGTGAATCCTCTCACCCTCCACATCTCTGGCCTGTACCCCAGTTCTATATGAATAAATAAATAAATCTTTTAAAAAAATACTTTTATTGGTTGATTTGCTTAGATACCTCTAAGCAGTGATACTGTTATACATAGCTCATAAACCTGTTTGACTTTTCTTTGAAGAATACTCAAAAATCTGCAGTGGAAGAAGGTCAATTAGAAGCTCAGACAAACACATAACATACAGATATACCTAGTCCTTTTGGGAATGAAATTGCTTGCTCTGTAAAATTGATGCTGGTATTGTATGTTTTTGCTATTTTATTAAATCAGAATTGCTTACATCTTAACCCTTCATCTGTTTTTACTTTTTTTCTTCCTCGTAGGGAAAGGAACAAAACAAACCTGAATCTTCTCCTTTGCACATTCAGAATCCTTTTGAAACTTCTCTTAATATCAGCAAAAATGTAAGTCAAAGCCAGCTGCAGAAATTTGTAGATCTGGCCAGAGAAAGTGCCTGGATTTTACATCAGGAAGATAAAGATCGTCCTTCCCCATCAAGCAATCAGCCCTGGGGTCTGGCAGCCTTGCTGCTACCTTCTGTAGCAAATAATATGTCTTTTGCTAAGAAGAAAAAGAAGAAGCCTGCAAGTGAAAGAATTAAAAACTTGTTGGAATCCATAAAAGGTAGTAACAGTATAGAAAACTCCACACACCCCAGTGGGAAAAGAACAGTTAGTACTCGGGCTTAATCAGACTACTTCTTTGCTTTAACTGGTTTTATCCTTCTATGAAGAACTGATCTGAAACTTTGATATATCTGATTTCATTTTTAATGATCTTATCAGTGGACCTCTTTACCTGGTTCAGAGTTCTGGGATATTTTTGGTCTCATCAGTGTTATAACCAGTGGTAGCTTATTAAAATGGCAACTGCAAGAAACAAGTAAAAGATTGGAATGTACTTTGAATAGATAATCTACAGTGAATGGTAAAAATCAGTTTTAGAATCAAACCATTATTGATACACATTAGTTCCTGAGTGGAAAGCATTTAAAAAGACTTCTGGTTATGTACCTAAACAGGCAACAACTGCAATAAAGCTTCAAAATGTGGTAGTGTTCTTTAATATGTATTTTTATATATGCAAACAGCGTACTGATTCACATATTAATTAAAAGAGGCTGCTACTGATTTCCAAAAATGTTAATATTTTTAAAAGGTATGAAGATACTTCTGTCACTATGTCTAGGTATTGTAAGCTGTAGATACATGTTGTATTTCAAAGTATTCAGTTACTTTTTTATTTTAAAAAATAAACCCTGTTTCTGCTAAAATCCAGTATTCCCCATTATCTCTCATCTCTTTTGGTAGTTCTCTTCTCTGGATAGGAAATATTGAGATATGAGTTCCTTTACGTTCCCTATGGAGTCACTTTCAGTTTATGAAGTAAATAGCATAGAGCTTGAAAACACAGACATGAGCCAGACTCTTCTCATGGTAAGTCATTCAGTCTCTCTGGCCTTGGTTGTGTCAGCTCTGAAATGGGGATTATAATAGTGCCTACTTCACCAGGTTGTTGTAGAGTTAAGTGAGGTATGTGGGAAAGTGCCGGTAGTCCAAGAGTCTGGCACACAGTGCATATAGTGCATTGGTATAATTCCTGAAGTTAGTGCACATTTTAGGAAGACAGGGTATAACTTTGCCTTATTCACAACTTTTTAAAGACAAGAGAAGAGTTCTAGAGTGACTTTTTCCTGCTGTGATTTACCACTTAGCTCTTCTTCCTTTTACTGTAGGACTACTGACAGGTGAAAGCAGAATCAGATTATTGAAAGTCATTTTATTTTTCTAGAAATTCTTTGGCCTTAAAATGGCTGTGTTTAAGTCCTTACAGCTTACTGGGTGGTATAGTGAGGAAAGGCAACCTTTGCATGTGTAACTTAAACCAATAGAGTGACCATCTGCAGATAAGACAACCACGCAATCAAACAGGAGCAGCTTGTCCAGGTAGCAGCTCTCCAGAGTTTGACATTCCATTGGTGAATAGCTGTGTTTGTGTCTCAACTTAGTCTTTCAGGAAAGAGAACAGTCAAAATGTTATAGAAGGGAAAAACCATTTCTGGCTGAGGAAATCAGAAAAAGCTTCGTGGAATATTATAGGGTAGGCCTTGAAGGAATAGTGGGTAGACAGCGGGGCACAGACTTTGTCATTCTGGGGAAAGCACAGTGGGAAATAGCTTGTTTGTATACCTTGCAGGTTATCCAGACTGGCTGGGATTTTGTTTTTTATTGTGATATGCAGGAGAGTCAAGGTTCAGTGTAATTGGGAAGGACTGCCAGTGGCAAGTTAAATATATTTTCAGTGGTAAACCATTGAATATTTTTTGTAAAAGTGAACTTGTTAAAATTAAAACTGCTTTTAGGTGATTTATTGAGACCAACTAGTTTTGGTTCACTACTCTTAATTTTAAATGCATTTGAGTAGTATAGGTCCTAGCATTAAGGTAGTTTAAATTTGGCTGTGAAATTTTCTACAACGTCCCAGAAACTGACTCTCCTGTACCTTAGAAGTTTTTGTTTTTTAAGATTTATTTATTTATGCATACAGACATGGGGTACAGGCCGGAGGTGCAGGGGCGGTGAGAGGCTTCATCAGAGACAGAGTGGGGAGCAGCAGAATAGGCAGATAGACAAAGTACACTGTTGAGGGGAGTAGCAGGTTGGCGAGATAGGAGAGGTCTGCTGCACCATGTGGGTCATCTCCCAGGCCAGGGATGAAAGCTTCATAGAAGTTGCATTTTAACTCATTGTGCCTCTAGGAAAGGCCAGAAGATTTTGTTCTTAATATTTAACAAGGAAGAAAGCTTAGTTATCACTAGGAAGTATCATGTTATGACAGATAATTTTATGTAAAGCCTTCATAATGAGAAATTCTTTGTAATTTATACTTGGAAAAGAATGAAAAACATGATGAGAAAACACTTTTCACCTTGGTATGATCGTAGAAAATTTGTTTTAAATACTTAAAGGACTTATTTTGGTTTCTACTCTGAGTTCAATTACTTGTGGATATATATTCCAAAGAATATAAACATTATAACATTCCTCAGGAATCCCATGGAACAATTCCCAGAAAATGTCTATTTTAGATAGCACTTTTAATCTGTAATTCTATGATGCAGGATTTATAAAATCACAAATCATTTAAAAATGCACTATTTTTATTTTAAAGTATGAGCCTTGATATCTGTATGTGTGTGTGTGTGTCCACCTACTTTTTAAGTACTCTGGAGTCAAAGCTAGACATATACTTTTTTCAGCTATTTTTAAATGAATCCATTACTTTTTTTTTTCATGAAAACATGCTAAACTTTTATGGGATAGGACTTTTTTTTATTTTTAAGATTTATTTAGTCATACAGAACTGGGGTACAGGCCAGAGATGCGGAGGATGAGAGGATTCACCAGAGACAGAGTAGGAGCAGAACAGGCAGATCTATGAAGTACACTGCTGAGGGGAGCAGCGGGCGGGTCAGGAGAGGTCTGCCATGCCATGTGGATCTCCTCCGGGGCAGGCGGGGATCGAACTCATGCAGCAGTGGCTTTAGCTTCTTAGTGCTGTGCTTTAACCCGCTGAGCCACCAGGGAGGGCCCTGTGATATGACATTTTAAAGAGAGTATCAAAAAGCTGTATATAATTTGGATCAGAGACTTGTAATATGAAGAACATATACTATGATAAAATAAAGATTTGGAACAGACAATGATGAATTACAGGTTGTTATTTTTTCTATGTTTATTTGGAAGGATGATACATTGGACTTCACAATAATGTATGTTGTCTAAATGGAGCAAATTATTAACAAAATTATAAATTAGGTTTGTAGCATGTTCTGTGTCACCACAATTCCTATGAAATGTTCAACTTGTTAGGTACAATGAAATGAAAGTCTGACATTTTGGAAACTTTCCCTACATAGAGTTATGAGTATGTGGCTTACATTACTATAAATTGGTAATTAGAATTTTAATTTATGTTTGCTAAGTTTATACATGGGCTTATAGTGTGGTGTGACATAGCACATTGCCAATTACAGAGCTCAAACTCTCAAATTGATAGTAGAAATAGGCTGTGAAGCTATATAAGAATTTGAAACTGCAAATGGATTTTTTTTACTCCTAATATTAGTATTTTAATTCTATAAATATACTCAGCAATACAATGTCCAAGGCGCATCTTACTTTTCGTTAGCAAATTAGTTTTGTTGATTTAGAAAGGCTTTTTATTAATGCTTTATGTGATAATATTCTTTTCCTCTCCAATTTAATAAGTTATGAATTCTACAAGTCTGTATTAGGTAAAACAAAGATATGTCATAGAAGCAGTTTAAATGGACAAAATAAACAGTAAAAATGGCCAAGCTAAACTAATTCTATAAAAACTATTGTAGAGAATTTTGAATATAGGCAAAAGTAAACTGAGGCATATTGAACTTAACTTACATAAATTTTGACACCTATTTCAGCAGTTAACTCATGGTAAATTATGTTTACAGCTTCATTTCCTTATCCCTTTCTCTGTTAGGCAAATTCCAGTTCATTCTGACACTTCATCTGTAAATGTAATGTGTCATTATCTTCAGAAGATAAGGACTTTTTTACTAACACCAATTTCTATCAAACCTAAATGGAACCGACATTTAAAACTGTGTCCAATTAGTATTGAAGTTTGTCCAGTTGTCTCATGGATGTTACAGTTGTTTTTTCCCAAATGCATTTGCTTGAATCATGCACCAACTGTCGTGATTTTATGTGTGATTGGTTAGTCTGTTTCTGAAGTCTCCTGAATCTTTAGGCTTCTACTTCTCCTCACCACCCCCCTCCCCCTTGCATTTTATTGAAGATACTGTGCTGGTTGTCTTACAGTTAGCCCACAAAGTGGATTTTGCAGATTCTGTCAGCACACGTGTTTGTGCATTGGAGTCCTTCACATTAATGACTGAAAAATATGTCTTACCAGTTTTAGAAAGCTTTCAGCCATATTTTCCTGTATTTTTAATCCTTTTGTCTTCATTCCTGATACTTCTGATCTACTTAATAGTTAACTATTTTTTTTCTCTAGCTGTATGATTTGATAAATATATTCACTGTTTTCTCAATTTCAGTAATTGGGATTTTCTTTTTTTAGTTCTGAATTTACACGTGGTACTTAAAAATTTCCCCCTAAATTTTCTGAGAAAATTCTCGGTCTTGGGTAATTTTCTTACATGAAACAGTTATTTTGAAGTCTGTGTCTGATACTTTAAATATATGGTTCCCTTGTGGGTCTTTTTCTGTTTGTTTATCATGATACTGATTTTTCTCCTAATACACTTACTTTCTGTTATTTTTCTATGTTGGTATCTATGTTATAAATAATAGATTACTTGAGGGAGGAGGATGTTAATTTTCCTTCCTAATGAGTTTAGTTTTGCATATAGAAGATGGTTAAGGAGTATTTACGTTTCTATATCACCTTGATCTAGAAAGGACTTGAAATTTTGAAGTTAGATTTAATTGCAGATTCTAGTTCATGTTTCCACTGAGTTTAACCTAATCCTAATCTAGTTCATCTTTCCACTGAGTTTAACCTAATCCAAAGCCAGGAATGTGTACCATGGCCCCTTCTTGGTAGGTCCTGAACTGCATTTTTTTCTGCTGTTCTTCTGGCTTTTTGAAAGCTCTGCTCAACTTTGAATTGCCTCATCAGCACAGATGCCAAGTGGGAAGTGCTCTATCTATATGTCAGGCTCACCTGGGTAGTCTATTCCACAGTCATCCTTTTCTTACTGCCTTGTTAGCACTTAAACTTTTCAGCAGCTGCTGTATTTTGCCCCATTTTCCTAGTTGTTTTCAGCAAGAGAGATAGTGTGTATTACCTAGTTTGCCATTATGGACACTGTTGAGTCTTTTTTGATTCCGCTTCCAATCCCTCCCTGTATATTTGATATAAACATATTTTATATATGTGTATCTGTTAATCTCATGGGAATTATGCATACCATTCATTTGGTTTGCTTCCTTGGAAAGAGCTTCCAGTGGATTTCTCAGCTGCTGGTATATGCCAACTTGGCCTTTGGACGACTTTGCAAACACCTGTCTGGAATGAATATGTAGTTCACCACTAAAGAAATGGGACACTGCATATGTTTTGTGCTCTGCTTCAGAAATAAGAAGTTGCTAACTTTTATTTCTGAACTATGATTTCCTCATAGAGGATTTTGTACATATTGATTCAAAATTTAAATATTTTTATGCCATGTGTGTGACTAGGAGTGCAAAATGCCCACGTGAGAATAGGGAAAATAATCTTCCAACCATATTGAGACATCTCAAACAAAATTCTGAAGTCCAAGTTTTCCTTCCAGTTTTCCAAAATATTTATGTAGGCTGAGACCAAGAATGAAAGATTTAGGCCAAAATGCTTTTGAAAATGTTGCAGTTGTTAAGACTAGAAATTCTCTTTTGAACTTGAAGCATATGTTATTATCAGGATTCTTATTCATATATACAGAATTAAGCATATTTTTACATTGGTGAAATAATTTAGATGTTTATATTATTTCAATTTTCTTTAATGCTTGGTTACTTTTCAGCTGTATTATCAGTCTATATTTGTTCAGGAACCAGAAGTAGCAGTTAAAAATAGTTGTCTTTTCATAAGAACGGAAACCATAAAATACCTAGAAGCAAAGATGGGTCAAACACTACACGACATACACTTCAGCGACATCTTTAAAGACAGAGCACCAATGCCACAATAGTGAAGGCAAAGATAAATAGATGGGACTACATCAAGTTAAAGAGCTCTGTACAGCAAAAGAGACATTACTAAAAACAAAAAGAAAGATCACTAATTGGGAAAACATTTTCTCACACAAAAGTAGCGATAAAAGACTGATCACAAAAATATACGGAGAACTGATGAAACTCAACAAAAATGAAGTAAACAACCCCATCAAAAAATGGGCAGTAGAGCTAAAAAGACACTTCTCCAAAGAGAAAGCGCAGATGGCCAACAGGCATATGAAAAAATGTTCAACATCACTCGTAATAAGGGAGATGCAAATTAAAACCACAATGAGATACCACCTCACCCCAGTGAGAATGGCACATCTTCAAACAACTAGCAACAACAATTTGTTGGCGAGGATGTGGAGAAAAAGGAACTCTCCTGCACTGCTGGTGGGAATGCAAACTAGTACAACCACTATGGAAAACTGTTTGGAGGTTCCTCAAACTGCTAAACATGGAGCTTCCCTACGACCCAGCAATCCCACTCCTAGGTATCTATCCAAAAGACACAAAAACACTGATTGAAAAAGATAACTTGTACCCCATGTTTATTGCTGCTTTATTTACAATTGGAAAAACATGGAAGCAGCCCAAATGCCCAAAAGTAGATGACTGGATTAGAAAGATGTGGTACATATATACAATGGAATATTACTCAGCAACCAAAAAAGAGAAACACATGTCTTTTGCAGCAATTTGGATGGAGCTGGAAAAGATCATGCTTAGTGAGATAAGCCAGAAAGAGAAAGAAAAATACTGGATGGTTTCACTCATAGCAGGAGTATAATGGA